AGGGTACAAAAGCCAGCAAGAGAATCAGAGACAGCCCCTGCTCCCCATTCTTTTTTTATTAATTTATTTTTCTATTCCAATCCCAGTTCCATCTCCCTCCTCTTGCTCCCCCACTTTCCCCCACCCCACCTCCCATCTGCTCCTTGGAGAAGGTAAGTCCTCCCCTAGGAAGTCTACTAAGTCTGTCCCATCATCTAGTTCAGGCAGGACCAAGGCACCTCTCCCCCCAAACACACCCCTGTGTCTAGGCTGAGCAAGCTATCTCTCCATATAGAATGGGCTCCACCAAGTCCGTTTGTATGTTAGTGTTAGATCTCGGACCCACTGAGAGTGGCCTCATATATTGCCCTAGCCACACCATTGTCACCTATACTAAGGGAGTCTAGTTTGGTCTTATGCAGGTTCCCCATTAGTCAGACCTGACTCAGTAATCTCTCGATAGTTCGGGTCAGCTGATTCTGTGGGGTTCCCTGTTGTTCCCTTTGTTCATATTATCACTCCTCCCTCACCTTGATTGTGCTCCAGGAGCTTGGCCCATTGGTTAGTTGTAGATTTCTGCATCTGCTTCCATCTGTTTCTGGAAGAGGGTTCTAGCTTCTCAGGGGTTGTGGATTGTAGGCGGAATATCTTTCTGCTTTATTCTGGTATCCACTTATGAGTGAATACATACTAATTTGTCTTTCTGGGATGGTTTTTTCTAGTTCTGTCCATTTGCCTGCAAATTTTAGGATGTCACTGTTTCTAACCACTGAGTAGTTCTCTACTGTGTAAATGTACCACGTTTTCTTTATCCATTCTTCGGTTGAGGGGCATCTAGGTTTTTTCCAAGTTTTGGCTATTATGAATAATGCTGCTATGAACATAGTTGAACAAATGTTTTTGTGGTGTGAATGTGCCTCCTTTGTTTTTTCTTTGTTTGGTTGGTTTTGGTTATTGTTTTTGTTTTTTGGTGTGTGTGTGTGTGTGGGTATGTGTGTGTGTGTGTGTGTGTGTGTGTATGTGTGTGTGTGTGTGTTTTTCTTGTTTTTGGTTTTTTCAGACAGGGTTTCTCTGTGGCCTTGGAGGCTGTCCTGGAACTAGCTCTTGTACACCAGGCTGGTCTCGAACTCACAGAGATCCGCCTGCCTCTGCCTCCCAAGTGCTGGGTTTAAAGGCGTGCGCCACCACCACCCAGTAGAATGTGCTTCCTTTGGCTATATGGCCAAAAGAAGTATTGGAGGGTCTTGATTCCTAATTTTCTGAGAAATCGTCATACTGATTTCCACAGCAGCTGTACAAGTTTGCACGCTCACCAGCAATGTAGTGTTCCCCTTTCTCCACATCCTCTCCAGCATAAACTGTCATTGATGTTTTTGATCTGAGCCATTCCAATCACCAACTCTGATGGTGTCTCAGAGTTGTTTTCATTTGCATTTCCCTAATGACTAAGAATGTTGCTGCTCCCCATTCTTAAATGTTCAGCCATCTCTCTGGCCCTGGTACATTTTGTCTTTCTCTTTTCATTAATTGTTTTTTTTTAGTTATGAGTAGGGATTGACCGTGTGCACCAGTGAGTCTGTAGAGTAAAACCCAGAGGAATCTGCTCTGTCCTCCAACATGTGGGTCCCAGGATGTTCAGATTGGTGTCAGGTATTTCACCTGCTCAGCCAACTCACTGACCCACCCCCAGGATGGGTTTTCTGACAACCCCCAGCCTCACACTCTGGCTCTGAACAGCCCTGTTTTTCCTGCATATGTTCCCTCTTTCCGTATGGCTGGCTTTGGTTCACTGGCCTCTCCTTTGGGGCTTTTGCATTTCTTCTTCCTACTGGACACTGGGTTGGGGCTTTCCACTACTCTTGTCTGGTGTTAAACTGAAAGGCTTCGTGTTTCTGTGTTCTAGAATATTTTGTGAGGATGGGATTTTTCTCAACTATTTAGCAAAAGTTGTGATTAAAGCCACTGGTTCTATGGTCCCTCCTTCCTTTACACAGTGAAGTCTGTCTAGCCCTAAAGGTCCCCCCAGGCTCTCCCTACACATAGTCCCAGTAACTCTCTAGGCTTTCCCTGCTCTCCTAACCACAGCCCCAGTTCCCTGTAGTCATGCCTGCATGAGAGGAGCCCAGGATAGCTTGCTAGGGAGACTGAGGCATGTTTGAGAACTAAGAAGGGATAACTGATCCAAACCCAGAGCCTCCCACTGCCCCTCACTATCATCCATTGCTTCCCAGCCCCAGGGACCCTGCTCTGCCCACTCTGCTTTTCTAAAGATGACTGTGGGAATCCACCCAGGCAGGTCTGCCCTGCAGGCAGCACACACTGCTATCATGGAGTCCTCAGGCTCAGAGGAAGCCTGGACACAGGGACCCTTGGGGACTGAACACGGTAGGCTTGGAGGGGAAGATCTGGGTGTCTGGGGAGGAAAGGTAAAATGAGTGAGGGAATGAGCCTTAAGGAGTGTGGAACCAGCCTCCTAGAGCTGGGCTTGCTTCCTTCATGTGTGAGCTCTGTGTGTGTGTGAGCATCTCTGTCTCTCCCCTCTCCTCCCATCCTAGGGGAGATCACCTCCAATCTGAGGGTGCAGGGCTGCATGTCCCAGCCAGGCTGCAGCCTGCTAAATGGCACCCAGAAAATTGGACCCATGGATGTGCGTGAAGACTGCAGTCCTCGGATAAATGAGAGGGATGTGAGGAAAAGTAAGTCCCACTTTGTGCTGTGAACTCAAGGCAAGATGATCCTTATGGGGTGTGGGACCCTGAAATTTATCAATTGAGCCAGCCACTCCCACTCATGAAGCTGGGGAATCCTAGTGACCTTGCCCCATAGAAATAAAAGCATAGAAAGAATGCATGGGTCTAGTTGGAACTTTCTTTGGGTTGCCAACAAGCTCCCAGATAAAGATATGGAGACTTAATATTAGTTATGAAAGCTCCGCCTTAACTTCAGCTTGTCCCACTAGCTCTTATAACTTAATTTAACCTGTTTGTATTCATCTACATTTTGCTTTGGGGCTTTTTACTTTTCTTTCACTCTGTATGTTCTGCTTTCCTGTTCCCTCTATGTCTAGAGGACTATACTGCCCCCTAGTATCTCCCTGGCATCTCTTTCCTTTTCCCACCCCATCCCAGCAAGCCTAAATTCCTCCCCTTACTTATTCTCCCTGCCCAGAAGACCTGCCTATACTTACTCCCTC